CACACACACACACACACACACACACACCCCTGCCCACACCCCCCGTATATACAAGAATAAGAATTTATTTCTGAATTATTATGCAATCACCTCTATATACAGTATGCAAATACAAATCATGACAAAAATATTTTTGTAATAAAATTAAAATATGTTACAGTAGGTGTTTGACTTTTAGTGTATGATTTTTTTTTTTCTGGTTCTAAGATGGCAACCCCCCCCCTCCCACACACACAAAAGGAGCATTTCTGGGGGGCAAGGGGAGGGAATTCCAGTGGCAAAGATTAGGGGTCTAGGGGTGGGACTTCCAGTCCCAAGATGGTGACAAGGGTGCAGGGCAACCATCAAGGGGTGGAGCAGCCCTCAACAGCTTACCAAAACTTGTTAAGTGGTCCTCCACCCAAAATAATTGCCTGCCCCAGTCTATAAGGTGCATATCTACCTTGCCTTCCACCTGATTTGATTCTAACATGGCTAACTACTTCTTTCTGCTCATAAACTTTCAACTTTCAAGCTGGATCCATATACACACAACACACACAAAATAAAGTTAGTGGGGTGTGGAGGGCAATCTATTAGCCAGTAGCCCAGTAGGTAGAGACTGCACTTATCAAGAAGGGCAGAGACATAGGTCAAGATTCTCTCCTCTGCCTGAGAGAATTTAAACCTGCATCTACCTCCGAAATTAATGCTCTAAACACCATGTTCTGAAATGCTTTATGGTCCCGCAGAAAGTGTGGTAGAGCAGGGAAACACAGGGCTCCCAAAACACAGTCAACTTTTTTCTTCCAAAAACCTCAAATTCATCTGATAATGATTTAAGCACACTTCTTCTCTCCTACAACTTGAACCCTCTTTAATTTCTAATTAAACAAACTCCCACTAACTCTGTTTTGTGGTGCAGGTAACACGCAGGCAAACTGACAATAGATTTAAAAGTACTTTGGCCTGTGATTCTTCTTCCAGCATAGTCTTATTGCTTGTCATGTGGATGACCCATCTTTATTCTGTGAGCTTGGGATAGGAATGTCACTCAGGAAGATAGTAGAACCTGTAGATAGGAAGACATAGTGGGAACACAGGAAATTATGTATTGCAGGAAGAAATACAACCAATATTTGCAAAGTGATACCAGATTAGGTTAGTCACAACCACAGTTTGCACACAGAAGCCCATCTGGTTTCAATGTACATGTGTATCTGAAGAAGGAATATATATGTTTGAAAGTAAAAAGGGTGGGGAAAACTGTTTAATATCTTTTATCAAGCTCAGTGTTCATGTACATTTTAGATAGTCTCACCCAGGGGCCCCCAAACATAGCCCTTTCAACATGCCATGTGGATCTGCAGCAGATGCCCTGTACAGAAGGCAGCTGTGCAAGAGCCTCACTCACAGTGACAGCGGTGACAGACTTTGCCCAGGATGGAAACCGCATCAGTTATATCAGAGCCGACCCAGTCAAAAGCAGTGATCTCTTCTGGAGGGCTTACACACCAAAGGATGCAAAGGTTGGTTATTAAATTAACTTGGGGAAAAAATGGCAAACTTAAGCAGAAGTTTTGCTGAGAGAAGATGGAAAAGTACAACAAAAAATCTTTCACGTTTGGGGATAATTGTTAGCAGAGTAAGTCAGCACAGTGACCTAATGTGCCAAAAAAAATAACACGCAGAGCATTTTGTTTTAGCAGACTTGTGTTTGGTTACTAGTCAGCAAATCAGCAGGACCAACAGCTGGATAATATTTGTAATCACACTTGAATGTACATGCTTTAAGAGCAGGGAAAGCCTGTTTGGGGACTGAACGTTCCTTTACAAAGAGGCAAGGAAAAACAACATCCAGGAGAAGGAGATACGCTGGGAACAGAGAACAGGAAAGAAAAGCTGCACCACAAGGAAACTTACTTCCGTTGGTTAAGCTTTCCCAGCTATGCTTCACAACAGAGCTAATTCAGGTGATGGAGAGTCACTTAGTAATTAGAGAAGGACACAGAGAGTCAGGTCTCCTGTGTTCAATTTTCAACTCTGCCAATAATTCATTGTGAGACCTCTGATGATACACTTAACCTCTCTGTGTCTCTGTTTATCCATGTATAAAATGGGCATAATAAAAATAATTAGAATTTATGAGCCAACCCTGCTTGTTTTATTTGCATTTACTTCAAAAGCCCTTTTCAAGTGACTGAGGCAAAGAGGACTTAGCCTAATGTTCGTGCAGTTCCTTGAGATTTGTAGAAGAGAGCTGTGATAGAAGTGTACAGTAATGTTTCTACATGATGGAAGGAAGGGACCACTGTGCCAGAATGCACATTTCAGTTGGCTAAAAAGCACAAAAACTGCAAACAGCTACAAAGCCCAAATAAAAAGATGTCAATGCCTCTCGTGCCACAACAGCCCAAAATTGTGGCCATGACTAAAGGTGGTAAAAATTGTGCTTCTTTTTTGTAGACCATGTCTGTTTGCTTTACGGGGGGAAAGTACAGGCAGTCTAGATCAGCCTGAACTCCAGCTGTCCCAAGCCCATTTTCCAAGGACTGCAGGGGCCCAATGCTGCATGGCCAAAGAATTCCCGTGCAGGAACCCCAGGGTTTTCCCATTTGCAGAGGCATGCCCTGAGTTGACAACCCAGGTTGTCTCATAGGATTGAGCCCCAGAAGCCCTAGGATTGGCGGAGGCCTGAACCAGAAAGACCAATGAAGTGGATCAGTTGTGCTGGGACACATCCCTGCACAGCTGATCCTAATCCAAGGAGCTGGCAAATCCAATATGATGTATTTTCAGTACTAGCAAAGACACCTCTAATTAAATATCTTGTTCTCATTTTTGATCAAAACTTATCTCCAGACTTTGCGAACAACATGTATTCTTCTTTCAGTTACACAGGCTTTAAATAGTGTCACATCAGTGATTTTGGGGGAGTTACACTGAAATAAATTAAATCAAAATTAGGTCCAAAGAACGGTACCTAAAAAGTACAGCACACATGCATCTATTTTCTTGCCTCCCATATGTAATTTACCTTAAATATTTTAAGTATTTTTCTTACATTAGTAATTGCAGCTAGTTCAATGCAAGGCAATCAAGTCTCTATTAATTTTTGATGGTATTAATACTTTTATTAAAACATGATAACTGAAAAAATGTAAAGTCCAATTCCTTGTTTTATTAATAAATTGCATTTGATCCCAGTTAAGCAAGGCTGATCCTTGAGAAGAATAAGGAAACCACCTTACTTGTAATGTAATGTACAATAGCTCCTCAAAGCACAGCTGAGAAAAAAAATCAGTGCAATGTATTAATATCAAAATAGTCTTCGGTACTGCAGTAATCCTTGTATATTGTACTGAAGAATTTGATAAAATCAATGTGCTTGAAAAGATGGATGCATTCACTAACTTGCAGCAGCAGGCTCACTGCATTCTCTACACTGATGAAGTAATTATGACAAAAAAAGGAAAGAAAAAGAAAGCCTAGGGGAAAAGTTGGGGTGCATGTGGAGGGACGTTAGTTGGGATGTGGTGGTGGCACCTTTCAGTCTCAGATGCAGTGAGGATGGTTCTAGCAACCCTGGAGACAAGGGATACTGAGTTGATAGCTTGGAATCAGTGGGAAGTTACTCTGTCATTTCAGAGTAACTGATCTCAGAATTTGGTCTATAATCTGCCTGGGAAATAAATTAATCACTGAAACTACATACCATAAAATTTAAGGTCACACCTGCGGACAGTTAGTGGCTCCTAAAATATGCTAATGATCCTTAATTGTAGCATACCTTATGCCACACTTCTGACTTTGAAATTAGTGCAATTTAACAAGTGTTCTAAACTCTTGCTAATTTCAGGGAAGGCTCTGCTTCTCCATGGGCAAATTTAACAGGAGAATTTTCTCTTTTTACCAAACAGAAGAGAGAATGGCAGTCCATTAACTTAGGTGAAATGATAGTACCTTCAACTCCCACACTGTAGATAGTTAAACTCAGTTGTTTGGAAAGCAATCCTATCCTGTACCAATTCTGCATCATGTTTTATAAGTTAGGCTTCAGTTTATACTTGACACTTGAATGCTGCCCCTAATGTTTTGTGACGGAAAATAATGAAGAAAAACTGCGGCATAGATTGCATTTATTACCTATTTCATTTTAACCAGGTCACAGTTCAAGACCTCCCAACAGGGAACTGCTACTCTTTCACTGATCCACATGTTACCACATTTGATGGATGGTGAGTATTCTAACTTGAAATCATTTGGCTCAATTATGGCAGTTTTCACTTCCTGAATGCAGTATTTATTTGATTTTATATTAGAATTCCAAAGGATTGTTACAGTAGTTTGTTTGTAGTGATAAATGCAGTGAATCTATAAAAGTCACATCTCTTTTCTAAATGTCTACATTCCTGTTAATGAAAGGATGCAACGCTATGCATTTTGTAGCTACAGAGCTTCAAAAACTGAGTAATTTTAAGAAAACATAGGGTCAAATTTTACAACCCTCAATTAGGCACAGTATACATACTCATCTACCAGATGCACAGTTTCGTTTGCAAATCCTATAGGAGTGGGGATTCTCTAATGACTACATCAGGTGTCGCTCCAGAGGCCTAGTATCCTGTCTGCCGGTCCCAGCTACAAGTACTACAAGCTGTGTAGGTTTGAATGCACTCCAGTCAGAACACAATCTTTGAAAATGCAAGCCATGCAGCATCAAAGGTAGAAGGCTTTTTCATCTGGATTCATGGGAAAAAATAGAGGCACTCTTAAGGATCCTCCATACACACATGCTCGTGGATAACTAGAATTATTTAAACCCTACATTCTTATATTAGTTTAGAAAATGATATGCACAGTGTATTTTTCTAATACTTCTCATCCCTATCTTTTAAGCACTTAAGCCCAGAAACTGTTATTTTCCATGTGAAGATAAGTAAAAAATGGCCATGCAACTTTTCTTTAAATCTCAAAATCAAATTCACTTTTGAGCTTAGAATGAGAATGAGAAATGTATTCTCAAAAGACAATTTTTGGAAACTCATAAACCACAGAGAATTAGAACTCGAGTACTTCTCAACAATATAGTACAATATTATAATGTAAGCTCAGTGGATCCTAGAGTGAGAGGGTATGACAGGGGGCTGTCACAAGGCTGGTCCAATCATTGGCCCACCCACCTGCTTCACCTGCCATGCCTTTGATGTAACTTTGAAAGCAGTTGTTTACAAGGTGGCAGGCTGATCATTTACTGCCCAGTACCAACGGCATAATACACGGCTTCATCCCATCCCTACACCATGTCCCATGCCTCGCAGAAGGCATCAGTAAATGGCTCTAGTGTCACACTGGGCCTCCGTGTATGCTTGTCTGACATTCAGACCCTACCTGGATCCCTCCTCCTCAGGCGGTCTAATCTCCTCCCTCATTCTGGGCAGGAAAACTCCCTAAACCCTTTTCTTTCTCAGCAGTGGTCCCCTCCAGGACCTTTGGCCACATGGGCCCTGGCCTCTCCTTTAGGCCAGTCGGAACTCCAGGCCCTTGGCTCTGGCCACCCCTCATGGTCCTTCACCTGATCTGGTCTTGGCCCCAGCATGGGCGAGTCAAGGTTACTCTGGGTGTTATTGAGCCTCTCACTCTCACTCTCCCATATGGTCCACATTCTTGGACTCCTCCAAGCACAGCCCACTTGATCACTAAGACCAGTCTATGCACAGTCCTTCAGGCCCACCCATATGAACTGTACTGTACACAGCCTACTGCATTCTCACCCACGCCCTCACTAGGGCTACTAGGCCTTTCGTCCATTGGGCCTCAGGTATCCGATGACATGCCTGGACCCCTTACCTGTCTCCTTTATGGGGTAACCCACCAGGTCACAGGGGCTGAGACTGTACAGCACCCCATACTTGCCTTTCACTAAGAAGGCACTGGTGTGGCATTTCCTGGGTACCACCCCAACCCAGGCAGCCCCACCACACCATCCAACTCTAACAGGGTGTAGTTTTAGGTCATTCCCCAAAACCAGGAACCTGCTCCATCCTCATAGTTTCTGTCCTTAACCTCCAGGTGTTCTGGGACCAGCAGTACTCTGGCCAGAAAATGTTCACCCTTTGGCTCCCCAGTTGCAACTGCTAGCTAAGCTCTGAGGGCCTGGGTTTATACTGAGGCTGCCCAACTCCATCCTCCAATCCAGGAGCCCTCTTGTGGTCATGTGACTGCCTCATTAAGCCTACTCACACCTGTTTGCTGCTCCACAGCCTGCTCAAACCTCTTAAAGTGGCAGGCACCAAAGAAGCCTGGCCACTGACGGGCTATAATAAATTACTGTTATGCTATTCAATAATCCATGAATTAAATTAATGTTATTAAGCTAGCTTTTACTCCAAGTTACACTTATGCAACTCCATTATTGATTGCAAGGAGGGATATTTCAGAGAATGTTTACAAATAATTGATTTTATGTTACCATCTTTGAGTTCATGGCAACTAAAAAGGAATATCCATATGTAGTATTACCTCAGAAGCACAGACTTGTGAAATGAAAAAGGCCCTATGCCTCCCAGCTACCAAAAATTGTCCAGTCTGTCTTTAAATTGTCTTTCCAATAATCAAGTTATTTCACTAATATATATTGCTCTCAGGAAATTCTTCTTAATATTAGGCCAAAGGTCCTACCCTTGATTTTATGATCCTGTTACTCCTAGTTTTATTCCCCTTTATTATTGCAAATAATTTCTGTCTTTTGAATGCACCTGCTTCTCTATTAGCCATCAATGATGCAAGCTTTCTATTTACATATTCAGCAGTGTTAATATTTAAGATGATAATACATGTGATGAACAATGTCTAATGTGATACAGTATTTAAAGAAGAATAGAGCAATCCTTGTTTGTGGCTTGATAGATAATGGCCTACACTTGACAGGTACATGGTAAGGCTAAGTTAAGACCCTCTTATTCATAAAAAGAACACATGAGACTGAAGATGTGCAGCAAGGAAAGCACTATGCTCAAAGAGTGAGTGGGCAGACAGCTCAGGGCAAGAAAAGAACACAAAAGTGCATTACAAAAATAATGCAGCATCAGAAGGAAAGTCAAGGGCTGTGTCAGAAGGGATTACACACCACTGGCAGTGAAAACAGGGAGGGAGGATAACTTAATATAGGCAAATTGTTAGGTAATAGAAAACAGCAGGCTGACAGGATGAATGAAGCAGCAGAACAACAGCTTTTGGAGACCACAAGAGCTGTGGAGATTTGAAGCGGCCACTAAACATGAGCAGCTAGGCCAAGAAGATTTCACAGAAGGAACAGTAAGGATGAAAAGTACTGAAAACTACTGTGCCCACCCCACACAGAAAAACACTGGCATACATAATTAATGTATATAGCACACACAAATAAGTTCTAGAAGAGGGGCAGGCAAAATGTGGCCCACAGGTCAGATTGGGCCTACGGTAGACTCCACTTCCCAGCAGCCCCTGCTTGTGTTGCTGCAGCCAGTTTCCAGGCAGATCCCAGGAGTGGCAGAGCCGTGACAGCATGGGGCCAGGGTTTCCATGGAGACTGGCCCCAGCAGTGCTGGCAAGGTACACGGCTGGGTGGGCAGCAGCTCCAGGGCTGGGATCTTGAGGTGGTGAAAGCATGGTCCAGAGCTGGGGCAGAGCTGCAATCTACAAATTGCAACTCTGGCTCTGAACCACATTGTCAGTGCTGCAAGATCCCAGCCCCAGCCCCAAAGCATCTCCCCACCCTGCCATGCACCCTGCCAGCGCTGCTGGGGCTGGTCTCTGTAGAAACCCTGGCCCCATGCTGTTAGGGCTCTGTTCCTTGGGTGGTCTCCATGAAACTGACTGCAGCAACACAGGCAGGGGATGTTGCGAAATGGACTTCGGCCACCAACTGGCTCCATCGTATAGCTCACCCCATCCTAGAGGACCAAAGAGGATGTCAGCAAAGGCTCAGACCAGAAATCATTACTACAGTAGCTGTAACCTCAATTAATTCTGACAAAATGATTTTTCTGGTTGAAAAGCTCTTCTATTTTCAGCTCTGGTAAATAGGGTTTTTTTTTAAATGATTTTATTATTCTTTACTTCTTTTTGTAATAAACTTCTACAGGTGAGTAATAGCCACTCAGTAACTTGTAATCTGATGAATTTACCATATTTCATCTCATATAATGTGCTGTGACACTATTAATTAATTATCAACTTTATTCCTTGCATGATAGTTTGTTCTCTCTGTACACCGTTTTGCAAAAATATTTGTACAGAACCATTTACTTTAAAATTCTTGTATTCCTTTGACAAAGAAAGTGACTAATAAGCAGAAAAAGCAATGTATTTTAAAGTACAAGATTTACTTTATTGGTGTATGTTGATGCATAGAATTGCAATAGCGTTAATTATACTGGCCAGTACTATTATTAAAAAAATATTCTGAAAGAACTATTCCTTTTATAACAAAATGTCTTTTAAGTGAGACAAATAGGAAAGCCTGGCAAAGAGAAAGTATAGGCTTCATTATTACTTATGATGCATTATAAATACAAAAGCCTTTCTCATCCTAAATTGTAGATTCCCAAAAATGAATGATTGGTTTCTGCTAAACAGCTAATCTTTTATGGTAATACCTAAAAAAGTATACAACTGTTTGGGATAATTTATATATAATTAATCTCATTTTGCATTTTACCTTGAAAAGAAAATTTTGGACCTCTTACATTAAATGTATGGGGATGTACTGGGTAGCAGTACAGCTCTGCCCCAGTGGCTATAATAGGATGATCCCAAGTGGTGGATAGAGGAATGACCTTCAGGGAAGGTTAGCTGTAAAATACGTTGGGGAAACCCTGATGAATAAGCAGTGGCAGACCAAGCAGTGTCAACACCACTAGGATGTGGCGAGGACAGCAGATTTCAATGCTTTGCCTCCTGAAAAGCCACATATATTCTTTGACAGTGCTGTGACAGGCTGAGTACACATCAACACTATAATAAGCCTGCCCAGCCCCCAGCCATGGATCTACAAGTCCTCAATGGTGGAGAAGGCAAAAGATGTTAGACTCTCAACAGCTGCAAAGGTGGATGAAAGCTGCAGCAGAATGATATTCCCAATTGTCTTGGTCTCCTTGCCATTGGATCAAGGTCTCATTCTGTCAAGAGCCATATGGAAGCTTCTCCATGATAAAGAAGCCACACACAGGTGTCTTCCATGAAAACAGCTATTCCA